TGCCAGGCTACGGAGGTTGGTCAGGTGGTTGCCCATCATCTTGATGAGCTTCACCTCCTTATCAAGGAAGTGGCTTTCCAAGAAGTCAGAAATGAAGGTCTGTATGGGCAGAACCCAGGGCATGCAGATCCTAGAGGGCCTGGTTCAGGTTCTTCTCCAAGGCCAAGGCAGCTTCCATGGCCTACTGGGTTTTGCCCCAGTCATCTTGAGATGGCTTCTTCACATCCTGGAAGAGTGCACGGCCACTTCTTCCACAAATTGGCCTAGGAGAAGTGCCAGGGCGCCGAGCGTCTCCCGGTTGTCTCTTCAGCACAGTTTTAGGTGAGCCAGCCTTCCCAAAGGGTAGTTCTTTAGCCAGCCAAGCTGGATTAACTCTTAAGTGAGAAGACACCTGGATATGACGTTCAAATCTTTGCAGATGAGAGTCACGTCTCAACCCAGGGATGGAGGGATTTAGTTAGAGAGGTGGGGAAAGTCCACTTCAAAGGCCTCTACAGCTCCTGTGATGGAGAGGAAAGGGAGAAGCCTCCCAGGGTCACAGGCATGTCATAAAGCAAAGACACTTGGGAAGTCTGGGGGATGCTTGTGCAGGCCTTCAATTTTTCTACATAATTTAACATTTATCACACTAAACATCTTGGATAAGAAGTTTATTTTTTACGTACAATGTAGGAAAGAAAGGTTAGCTGGGGAGCCACTTCTTCCATTGCAGGACTCGGATGATAGGTATTTACGGTTGTCATGGAAGGACAACTAGCTATCTGCTGGCCACTGAAGAGGCAACCGATTGTCCTGTGTGCAAGTAACTCAGACTGTGTCGGCTTATAACCCATTGGCCTGAGCCACTAGTCCCATGTTCTACCATAGACCCTGTTCAGTGCTCAGTTGGGGGAGGGTTAGAGATGTTTGATTAGCAACATTACCCTGACAAGAGTAAATGTATAATTTTCTTAAAGCAACCAACTATTGTAAAAAAAACAAAAACAAAAAAACAAAAACAAAAAACCCCAAAAAACCAACCAAACAAAAAAAAAAACCAAGCTCACTAGAAGTGATGCCAGTAAGACAATCTAGACCCCACTCAACCCCCATCCACTTTCTTTCTTTTAAAAATCTCTTTTAAATGGACCAGTTTTAGCCTGCCGAGAACTAATCTATTCCAAACTTCTTGCTGGCTGGCGCTGTGGCCAGTGAGTCAGCCAGCTGGCCAGTTAGCCAGCTCTTTCTAGACTCTCAACACCCTTTTGGCTGAGTCAGCGACATTTCAGTGAGTCTGTGAAGAGGTGTGGAAGCTGTCATGAGACAGAAAAGCAGATGCTAGGTGGAGAGAGGCTGACGACACTTCAGAGAAATGAAACAATAACATCAAACCTCTGGATAAACTCAAATATGGAGATTTCTTCACTCAACCATTTGACAACCTTAAGTGCGACAGCTTAAATGTCACATTTGCTTGGCTCTGCTAGCAGGGACAGGCTGTATGCTGCCCAGAAAACTGCCAGGCTTACAATGTTCAAGGAAGTTGAGGCTACTGTGCCCATCTGGAACACCCAGAAATTCCAGTGCAGGACCAAAAAAATTTCATTTGTTGGGAGCCAGAAGATTAGGTGCCTTATTTCCTAAATAAAATGTTTAATTCATCGTAGCTGTCACTGAAAAAGACTATCACTGTGTAATTTGCTGTAGGAAGTGCAGTGGTATCCGTTTATCCAAACTTTTGCTCTCCACAGTGTCAGTTATCCATGGCCAGAGGTGGCCCACAAAGATCAAAGAGGTGACCCCAGAAGTAAACACTCCATACATTTTAAACTGCACACTGTTCTGAGCAGTTTGATGTAATCTCTCTTATGATAATAGCTTCTACGTTTACAATTATGTTATATTATTATTGATGTCATTAATCTCTTTTTTGTACCTAACTCACAAATTAAACTCTACTACATAAATTAGGTATAACAAGCAAATAGAATGTATACGTTTTCATCCTATCCAAGTTTTTGGGTATCCACTAGGGGGTCTTAGAAAATATCCCATGGAGATATGAGGGACAGTTGTAGTATATTAAATAAACTCCCAGGAAAAGAATGCTTCTGTTCTTGGGAAAATCACCATATTATAGGTGTTGTAACACACACACACACACACACACACACACACACACACACACATTCGCGCACACAGAATTTCTTTGGGAACATCAGGTGATCTACTACGCTAAAACAGTCTAAAGCACAGGAAACGTAACAGGTTTTTTTTTTTTTTCGCCAGAACAGTGCAGTGGTGTGGATATGTAAGAATGTATTTTAGATGAACTCTGCTTGTCAAGGGGATAGTGAAGGGAAGAAGAGAGGCTTTCTCTTAATCAGTTTGTAAGGTAGGTATTTTTTTTTTAACCAACTCACAAGTGGAAAAATTAAAAGTCAAATAAAGGGGTTTCTTGTAATAAAATTAACTTGCATCTTGTTTTTCAATCTCTGAGACAATTTTTCTGTGAGAAACGGAAACAGGATGCACATTGCCTGTCTCACAAGGACAAGGTGATTGAAAGAAATACTACGTAGAAAATTTTACATGATTCTTGACCTTTACTGAATTGAAATCTCTGATTCTGTCCTGATTTTGCATTTTATTAAAGGCAGAGTCTTGTCAGGTATGATGTTGACACCTTCAATCCCAGCACTGGGAGGTGGAGGCAAGACTGCTCACTCTAGTCCTGAACGAGGATTTAAATGAGGAGGTATTTTGTTCCAGAATCTGAGCTCCCAAGCACTGAACCATGTATGATACATTAATGTAAACAGTGGGCCAGTGTCCTTAAATGAATCTGAACCATGATTATGTGCATCAATTTTTTTTTTGGTGTCTGTAGCCACTCCTTGATTTAAGAGAAGTTTAAGTTTCTACTGTAAATGGCTGTGGCTAGTATACATTTTGACTTACTGTGATATTTGCCTTCTTTTCTGTGAAAAAAATTATTCTGCCTGTAACTAATTTCTACAGATTGTCCTCTTTCCTCTACTTGTTCTATTTTTAATTTCTTAAGAGCTAGAAGCTGGATCAATGTACATGGGAGAACTGTGTCTAACCTCGGAGTCAAAGGCCATTACAGGAAACACAGATTGTAGAGAACACATTTTGCTACATCTGTGGCAGAATTTTTATTTTTGTCAAGTCTTGTGTTCCCATCTGTGACCTGTGCACTTTACATGGCTAGGTCGATGACTTCTCAAGAGACGTGCATAAATCCCATGCATTTCCCCCCTTCTGCTTGCTTCAAAGTATTTTCATCACCACCCCAATTAAAAGGATGGCCTCATTCCTTGGGCTTCTAGGGAGGGAGCCATCTGAGGCTGGAAGTAAAACGAGTGACTACAACTTGTATAAAAATAACTCTCCCAGGTGGTTGAGGGACAAAGTTACACTCAGCTGCTTGATATAGCTGAGCACTTATATTTTGAAGTAGGAGGAGAACCAGAGAAAAGTAGCCAGAGAGACTGGGCTGGAGTCCAATACTAAATAGAACAGAAGATGCCAGGAGCAATCATTCAGCATGACAGATGAGCTGGTAAGATTTCCTATTGCTTCATTTACACCACTCATCCACCTCTCTGAGTCTACCTTGCCCCTGGACCTGCAGGAATCACACACACACACACACACATACACACACACACACACCACTTTAAAAACAAAGAGAGGTGCAAGTCATAGATTTTAAAGCATTTCGATAAAGCTCTAGATTAGGCTGAGGTGACCATGGGCTCAGAAGGGGTCTTAGTGGGGCTCACACCCTGGCTTTCACCCAGGCTCCTTCAGCACCTCTATGTGAGGCTTATGTGGTTAGACTTGCCACATTCACTCCAGTCCTGGGTTGACTGGTTTCCAACTTGCAGTGAAGCCTCTTCCCTCAAAAGACACATATTATTGCAAACATTGTGGTACCATGTACAACCTCCAAACAAACACCAAAGCTCCGAGCTCACTTACAGGCCGGGAACTCCTATTTCACAAACATAACATTTATGAATCAAATATTTCTAAAGATTTCCATTGTGCCACTCTCCCCTTTTATTGCATTCAGATTGCTTCACATTCCAGAGAAAACCCCACTTTTAAAAATAGTTCAATGTCTGGCCAATAATTGAAGTTAGATTTTTAAAATATGGTAATTAGAAACAGGACTGAGTTTTTACTTGGCAAATGCAGTAGATGTTATTATATATGAACGAGCTAACTGAGAAACACATTGAGCTCTTTATTAGCCCCAAAACTGGGGAATTGCTGTTCCCTGGTGGCAGCACAGACTCATTGCATGATAGCTACTTAACTGGTGTAAGAAAGCTTCCAAATTTAGTTCTGTAACAAATCAACTCTTTGTAAATACTTTCATTAACCTTGCATGGTATTGGTGTTTGAGGGTCTGGCTATATGGCACAGTCTGGCTTGAACTTACAAAACTGTTCCTTCATCTTCCCATGTTCTGGGATTGTGGGGACCAGCATATTCTCATATGAAAGGCTTACAGGTAGAGAAAAGGAAACACAATCTCAAGCTGACTTCCCCCTAACAGGGTAGGATGTTTATGTTCAAGTCAATGATAATGTAAGAGGTAGGATATTATTTGTTACGAGGAGATTCCTTCTTCTGGAATCACATGGAACACAGGCTTTGTGCCATGTTCCTTGACGTGCCCTGTGAGCAGGCAATGAAGTCTGAACGCTGGTGGTGTACATGCTCTGTTCCAGTATGAGGCCCTCTTGCCATTGCTGTCAGTAGCCCACTAGTGGAGCAGTTGCCACAGAGTCAGGAACAAAGATAATGACAAACTTATGCTGATTGCTTAGTAGATGCTTAGACTCATGTTACCATTGTTGAGCCTTGCTGGGGACCCCTACTCTTAGTATACTGTCCTTACCCTTCAGCGTAGAGATTTGAATTCACTTTCTTAGAAAAGATATTGACCTGTTAGACAGCTGTTTCTGACAAAGTTCAAGTTGGGGCATGATTTTCAATGTCTTTATTAAGAAATATCAAAAGTTGATTAACATTCCATACACGGTTGTACAAAGTTCAAGTGAAAGGGTATGTGGGGATGCCATCTCTTTATTTCTTTAAAGTCTATGGTAGCTTGCCAAAGGGGTGAGCCATAGGTCCAATTTCACAACAATGTTGTTCCCTGATTTCTACTATATCACAACAAAAGGCTTTGCTACTTGAAAGACTATTAATATGTTATAAATACTTATTCATATATTCATCTTTTTAATTCCTTCATTATCTTTCTCTGAAAGAGCTGAGCTGTTGATAGGAAGCACAACATTTGAGTCCCGTTTACTGCAGATTGTGTTGTTACATTTTTCACAAAGCCAGCTTTGGATGCTCACAAACACTGCATGCTACATATTACAAGTCACACATGGGGGACTCCAGTACACTGTTCTCTTAATTTGACAATAAACACAAAAGAGAGAAATTGCTTGTCTTGGAAACAAAACACCATGGTCCTTCTGTGGAACTTTTTATAGGACAAACCTGCTACTACCACTGAGCTCCTGTCACACTAGCAGACAAGATAGATGCAGGAACACCAGCACACAATAGTGGCAATAGTGGGAGGAGAACTTCGAGGGGTGTGACATCACACGTGATGTCATCGGTACTGCTTCAGAGGGAAATCACACTTGCACAGTAATGGGGTAGGAGGCCATTAGGAAAGAGCCATGGTGTGGTGCGCCTTTGTTAAGGCTTGTGCTGGTTTGTCTAAACATCGATTTCTGGAGATTGTCTTGCAACATCAGAAGGAGCCATTTTCAGAGGAAGGACTCCTTATTCACCCACATAAGGCTGCGGGTTTCGTTGGGCTTGCATTCATACTCAATGACGGAGAACGGGCTTCCCCACTGGCAGTGGTCGCGCTTGTGGTAATTGTAGAACTTGACTTGCCACACTGTCTCGAAGGTCCCAATGTCTGTGAACTGAAGGAAGAGAGACATTCATGAAACTCTCATCCTGCCACCAGCAGTGGATGCCTGATAGTCAGTAACACAGCCCCTGGTAATCAGGACTCAGAAGCCACATCTCCCTTAGTTTGCAAAGGTTACACATTTCCTTTTGTGAGCTGCATTCCTTCATTGTGGGAGATATTTTTTTCCAGATCTCTTTGGCATTGGACTGTTTCATGAATTTTTGTTATTTTCCAAGTTTAGTTTTGTGAAAAGCCAACCTTAGACTCTCACAATTTCAATGTTTTTTTTTTTCTTTTTTTAATTTCTCCTGTCACAGAAGGGAATTGGAAAGAGAAGTGCAGGGAGCCTTCCAGGCCTAGAATGGGCTTGAAGTAGGCTGGCCATAGCTTTAAAGGCACAGGATGTTGCTTTAAAGACTGATGATCTCTGGCTTTCTAGCTCTCTGACTATACTGAATGCTTGCTGATGACTTCTAAAAGATTCTAAAACTTTCTTGCTTATTCTATGGTTAAAAAACACTGGCTTCTTTTCTCTTTACCTCTGTGCTTTATTAAACATTATAACTCTCTGTGCTTTATTTAATTCTTCATGCTTAAATAAGTGCTAGGGAAACTTCACTCTTTCTTACTGCTTTGTGTTCTGTTAAGCACTAAAAACTTAAGTCTTACTTACTTGTGCTATGCTTCATTAAGTGCTAAAAACTTAACTATTACTTGTGCCACACTTCATTAAGTGCTAAAATCTTAACTCTTTATTGCTCGTGCTTTAATGAGCGCTAATATCTGACAATTAACACAGACTGTTTAGCAGCAGGGAATGAAGTAAAAGGATTTAGTACTGGTGCTTCTTTCTTTGGTGCATCAGCCAGAAGCCTCACTGGCTAAGCTAGTTAACTCTTTGTGAGCCAGAGAGGAAGGAAAGGAAGAGAATTAAGATGCTGTATACAAGTATGCACAGACATATATACATTCAAACATTCATTTACCTACACTCTGGCTGGGCCCAACTGTCTGTCACAATCAACTCCACAACTATTCATGCATGCTTACATACATACACATATACCTACACACAAACATATAGACAAGCAGGCATATACATTTGGATGGATGGATGGATGGATGTGGCAAAGCTTCTCAAGCCAAACCTATTCAACCAATAACTTTATTTCTTTTCTCTGATCTTTTTATATCTTCTTAGACAAAAAGTTCTTTAGAAAGTTACTTCGGAGATAAGATGTTACATAAAATGGGAGTTACAGAAGGATGTTAATATTAAGTTCAAAACAGTGTATTACTATAATATACTCATTAAAAGTTCAAAGCAACAGTTTTTACGTGGCCTTGTCTTATCATAGTACACACCTGTGACTTTATTCTTGGATCTAAGTGTTTTTCCTTGACCAGAAAATTGTCTCAAGTCTATTTATCATTTTAGTATGATTATGAAAACTCATTATACTTCTTACTATACAGCTTTTACTTAGTATTCTGAGTAATGGGCACATTCTAGTCTTGATTCTAACTTTATTACTTCTTTCTAGAAACTCAGACCATCTCTAAGAACTTTCTTCCTAAAATTATTTGAATCAAGTCAGAAATTCTATAGAATCATTATATATTTGTCTATATAGCATCACTACAAGATTTTTTTTAGGTCTACAGAAATCTGCTCAAAAGGGTGAGTCAATACCTAGGGACAGGAAAAGTATATTAATAGCAGGAATCTTTCTTAAAATGGATTTCTCCTGGGCCTTGCCTATTGGAGAAAATCCATCATAGATTTTAAGTGGACTCATTTCAGGAAGATCACCTGCTAGTTTCCAGCCTCTCCTAATGATGGCTCCTGACTGGGAAGAAAGGAAATAGTGTTGACTGGCCATCTTTTGGGTTCTCTTTCAAAAGACAGTAGTACAAGAAAATGTACTATATTCTGTATCTAAACGTAAATAATTGTCTTTTTGTAATTAGTCTCAATTCAGCAAGTCTGTGCCCATGTATTGCATATGTAATCTGTACTATTCAAACTTTTAATGCCCATTATGTGCCATATAAAAATTGTATAAGGTGTGATTACTGCTTTTAAGATGTTTGCATCCCAACCAGGTATGATAGCTTACGCTGAAATCCAAGCATATGGAAGGTAGAGAGAAAAAGACTGCCATGAGTTCAAGGCCAGCCTCAATTACCATGTGAATGAAAGTTATCATTTCACTAGAGGGTTGGAAATTAGGTTCAGTGAAAATTACTGCACAGAATTCTGAGCTGTAAGGATGGGTTTGTCTTGTAGCCAAAGAGGGCATAGAATGCTGTAAAGGCCACTGGGCAGGTGCTCAAGTGGCCTGGGGCTTGCCTGACGATGACTGCCTACTGCTGCTATTTAGAGCATCTGGCATTAAACAACATTATGCCTGTGGTTATTTTCTTCTCTGATCCTCCTATGATGGGAAGGGGCAGGGAATGACTTGGCAGGAACCTTAGACTCTCCTAGAGCCAGGAGACATAGAGAGAAGGGCAGGGAGCAAGGCGAGCTTTTATGCTTTGCAGTTGATACAGGAGGAGGGCGATCGGGTGCTTCACAGAGAACTTTCCAAGGGGCGCTGTACTCAGCAGTTTCACCATTGCCTCATTTGCTAACTTGGTCCCAAAGTAAGATCTGGCCTTCCCTTTGGGAACCGTGTCTGATGTGAGGCCGGGGATGATACCATTAGAGTCTACACATTTCCTGGGTATGAAAGGAGTATCTCTACTTGCAGAGTCATGGCCTAAAAACCTATGAGCTCATATACAGTAACCTCAGCCTGGGATTAACTGAAAACCCCGCACTCTTCACTTGATGGGAGGCAAGTTTTGGTATATATGTTAAATGATATGTGACTGATCCATATCCATCAATAGGATATGTAGATTAAGGTAAGAACAGGGATGGCTCTTTTTTTTAAAAATTTTATTTTATTGGATGTTTTATTTACATTTCATATGTTGTCCCCTTACCCCATCCCCCACCCACCCCAGGGATGGCTCTTAAGACAGTTTATACAAAACAATTTAGATTCTAGCGAATACGTACCATATGACCTTTTCAGGTTATACCAATGACCTCAAAAGTATATGATATACTACAGGCTATACTGACAGAAAATATCTGTGGGTGTCTGGCCTGAGATGGAGGAGTTTGTTGGAAATGTACAAGATACTGTATTTATTATTTGTAAATACAGTATTATTTATTATGTCACATAGCTGATTGCCTTTTAAATCAGTATTCATTTGCAGTTAGGCACAGGAAGGTAGCGATTGAGACCTTAATTACCAGTCCTTTTGAAAGTCGGATTAAAGGTAGAGTGTATGTGGGTCCAGTAGTTGGGCTTCCTACAACAACACTGTAACATTCAGAGCAGTGAAAAACTGAACGTGGAAATGCTTACTTAGAGCTTGGACTCCTATATAGCAATTTAACATTCTTCCTATTATTTTTTATTCCTCTATGAATCAAGTACAGTATAATAGTGGGTGCATGCCATTGGGCCAGGGGTGTAGTTCAGTGGTAGGGTACTTGGTTAAAAAACATGAAAGACTCTGAGCTGATCCTCAGTAAAAGCTAAAACCCAGGATAGTATTATTCTAATGTCCAACTTAATCCTGCTTGCTAATGTTGAAAACTGATAGAATATATTTGCTTTCCTATGTGTTTATTTTTACTTTTAAAATTTGATGAGAAGGCCTAAACCCCACCACACTAAGTATTAGCATTTTTACCAAATAGTAACATAAAATATTTAATAATTAAAAAAATATTACATGAATTGTAATGAATTTCTAAGTCTATTAGGACAAAAGATTGAACCATGGTTCATTAAAAGAAAACTACAGGGGCAGGAAAGATGATTCAGTGACTAAAGGCACTGCTGCTCTCGTAAAGAACATGGGTTCAGTTCCCATCACCCACATGTTGGCTCACAACCATCTGTAACTGCAGTTCCAGGGGATATGAAGCCTTCTTTGGTCTCTTTTACCTCCTACATTAGGGTACGCACACATACACGTAAAATAAAATCAGTAGGTATTTAATTAATTAAAAAAAGAAAACTATGATTAATATTTGAAAAACATTCAAATACAATATTAGCAATTAAGCAACTACAAACTTTTACAGAGATAGCAGTTATCTGTCCAATTAGCTAAAATTTCTTATTGTGGGCATTCACTATTAAGAAAGTATTATGACAACTTTTGGCTGGGACAGACATCTAGCTGGTCTGCTCCTGTGAAGACACCATCCTGAGCCATCCTTGAGGAACCACTGCACACAAAGTAGTGGGTAAGAACCCTCCTGCACAACCCTATACCCCAGAGCTGCAACTGGGAGCCTAGGGCACTCAGGACCCATCACCCACCCAAACCATGCTCCTTCAGAATACCACTCCCCTTCTGCCTCTCTCTTGGTCCTTTTGGCCGGGGCAGACACCTAGCTGGTCTGCTCCCATGAAGACATCATATCCTGAGCCATCCTTGAGGAACCACTGCACTCAGAGCAGCAGGATTTCAGGATCCCAGAGGAAGCCTGAATCCCAGGAGCTCTTCCACCCAGGAACTCAGGATCACAGGATCATATAGACATCTGGGCTCTGAGGAGTTCTGACACAAGCAAGATAACTGGAAGGACCACTCTAGTCAGAGAGAGTGAGTGCAGGTAGCGCTAGAGATAACCAGATGGTGAAAGGCAACCGCAAGAACATAAGCAACAGAAACCAAAGCTACCAGACATCATCAGAACCCAGTTCTCCCACCATAGCAAGCCCTGAACACCCCCATCACACCGAAAAAGCAGGAATCAGATTTAAAATCACTTCTCATGATGATGATAGAGGACTTTAAGAAGGACATAAATAACTCCCTTAAGGAAATATAGGAGAACACAGGTAAACTGGTAAAAGCTCTTAAAGAGGAAACAGAAAAATCCCTTAAAGAATTGCAAGAAAACACAACCAAAAGGAGAAGGAATTAAAC